CCTTATTAATCTATATGGCACATCTTGAGATCAAGGGGGACTATTGAGTATTGGTTTAATGTATTTTTTTTTTGTTAAAAGGTTTTCTTGAATATATTTAAAAAAGATTACAAGGGAGTTTGATGAAACCACTCATCAATTACAAGCTACTAAAGTTACCAACACATGGATCGATTAAATAGTAAGATAAGGGAAGAGTGTGGAAGAGAAGAAGGCACAGCCTTATACCACAATCACGGAGGTTGAAACTGAAAGGAAGATGGTCCAGCCCAGCAAGGAAGAAGAGACTCACGATTTGATATTGAAGCACCAAGCTTTGAGACTTGTTTGTAACGATCGAGAGCATTTTGAAGAAAATTGTCTTGGGTGATAGAGTTAGTCCATAATGATAACGACTATTCCGTTCTTGTCAAATTCCAAACACACAAGAATGCCAAGCTTGAAGCAAAGCCAGAGACAATGTCTTTTCTGTAGTTGCCAAAGGGAGCCAAAGGAGTATATCATTCCAAGCCAAAGGAGGGGTAATAGAGAGAACCTTATGCACCATAGCCTTCGAAACCTCCGATGAGTAAGAGCATTCAAAGAATAGATGATTTCTTGATTCATTCTCATTCCCAAATAAAAGACACGTTTGTTCTACATCGTAACCCCACCGATGTAAACGGTCCAACGTTCGGTTGCGGTTAAGAACAAAAAGCCAGACCGCGGAAGCATGTTTAGGGATCCTCGCCTTGTGCCACACCTTGCGAATACAAAGAAACTATTTCACGACACTCACGAATTTCTGACCAAGCTTTCCTTGATGAGAAAGACTTTTGCACCTTATCACCAATAAGCCAAATTGGCTTATCACTCAAATGAGACAGTTGGATGGTTGTGACAAAAGCATGTAATGAAATCTGTTTCTCAGACCTTGGATGAGGTAAAGACCATCCCTCATTAGAGGTTAGTTCTCTCACTGTAGAGAACAAAGGGATACCGAGAAGAGAAGGACCATCTTGTCCTAGGTAGTGGATCAGCGGTCCAAACGGTGTCCACGGATCCCACCAGAAGAAAGTGTCATCCCCATTACCTATTTTTATCCTGAGAAATGAAGAGGCTAGGGACCACAACTTTAAAAGATTTCGAAACATCCAGGAGAAGCGGTAGTTCTTCTTATTTAGCGCCCAAAAAAAGAGTGAGTAAGATATTTCCTTATAATCCAAGCCACCCAAATAGATCCAGCTCTAAAATATAACATCTAAATCATCTTTAAACCACAAGTTGCATTCCAACTGCTCAGACTCCTCATACCTAAACCACCTTCTTGCTTTGGAAAGGTGATATCAGTCCATTTTACTTTAGCTCCTCTTGCTGATTCTGAGGTTCCGTGCCAGAAGAAAGCGTTTGATAGAGTATTAACCCACTTAATGACCTTCTTAGGCAACATAAAAGTAGGTGTCCAGAAGCCTACTATACCGGAGATAACCGATGTCAAGAGAGTATATCTTCCAGCAAGGCTAAGGTGTCTGTGAGACCAACTGTTTAGGTTTTTTCTTATCTGAGCCAAAAGAGGATCACAATCTCCTATCGATAACTTTCTAGTACACAGAGGTAAGCCCAGATAACGAATGGGTAAAATTCCTGGAGACAAGTCAAACTTTTCCTTTATCCTTTGAAGTTCCTCATCCTCCACACCAGAATAAAACAAAGATGTTTTAGAGATATTGATAGCAAGCCCCGAAATCTGTTCAAACCTGGCGAGAACCTCA